TTATTATTTAGCGTTTTTTTTTTTTTTTTTTCCAAAGTGAGAGGGAGTAAACGAAGAGAAAGAAAACCATTCAACGAAAAAAAAAAGAAGAGAACGAAAAGAAAGGGAGGAAAAAGGCCCTTTCTTTCCTTTCTCTTTCTTTACTTCCTCTCTCTCTTTACCCGTTTGAGATATCATAATTGAACTGTCGTGTTTAGACTCTTCTGAAGCGAAGCCGGGTAATGCTCCCGGACATGTTTATTGTGAGGTTTCAGGCTTGAGGGACACCTAGCTGTCAGAGGTCAGGTGTGGTCTTAAGATGTTCCCCTGTTCAGGAATAGTATGGACAATGGTAGGATTGAGTAGCCGTAGTGGGCTTCTCGCAGGGGTGCTCTGGTTCTGGTTCCCCCCTGTAAGCGAACACTGGGTAATGCTCCCAGACATTCCGTTGAACTAGTAGTGGTAGCTTGGTCCTTTCTTGCTGTTTGAAGGTTGATTGTCCAGTTTACTCTTTTTTGCATGTTGCAGACAATGGGACGCTGGACCCGGTTTCCAGCTCGTAGCCTAAGCTGGGTAATGGCCCCAGTTCCACAGGGTTGAGATGTTGAGGGATTTCCGGCCTCATTTTGGATTAACAGGCAATAAAGGTGCTTCGTGATTCGATGAATGACTGATCAGATATTGAACTGATCAGAACAGATATTACACCTGATCTTAGCAAATAGTGTACAATTGGACACTCAGTGTCGTACACGCAGACGAGCAGAAGAAACAGCCACACACCTGTGTTGGGGCTGCATTGAGTCCCAAGGGATATGGGTCAGGTGTGCTGGCCTCGGGCTTGCAAACGTGGAAGACCAGATACAATGGGATGAATGCTTTTTGGTCCAAGGCCATCCTGTCCTGCATAATGCGGAAGCAAAAAGGCCAGGGCCCAGGGTTGGGACTCGGGAGTATGTAGCCAGCCTGTAGGGAGGCCGTCATGCAGGTTCTATGGAAATTGAGAAATGATAGAGTGTTCAATAATAAATTCTACTCCGACAGGGACATCAAGAACACGGTCCTCGTACAAGGCTTAGGTGTAAGGTCCTTGGTATGGGCAGAAGATTGGAGGCGCACTAGAAGAGCTTGTGGCAAGAAAGCAGCCAGCCTGAGGAACGTTTCTTTCTTTCGGAGCTGGGGTCAGAAAGTTCGATGGGGCCCAGACCTCCATGCTTCACTCATATCTTAACGCGCTTCAATTGCGGGGAGACTTCCTATCTCGTCTGTCTCTATCTCAATTCGTCTTGTCTCTTTGTGCATGTAACAGACCTTGGTCTGTCTGCTTGGGTTGCTTTGATGGTCAATCTATCACTGGGGTCAGAAAGCTAGGTGGGGCCCAGACCTCCGTGCATAGTGTTGGAACCTTGGTTGATGAGGCGCAGACCTCCGTGAGTTGTCATTAGTGTTCTGGGTACCTATACAGAGAGAGTGGTGGAGGTCCAATCAAGCCCGGCGTGGGATTACTCTGGTTTTGTAGGGAGATCGTAATTACCTCGATGAATGACATACAGTAATCTAGTAGGCTGTTGATATAACCTCCTGGACCAGTCGTTGCATCATCTCGAATTCCGAAGACCAGGCCAGGCGCTATGTTACAGTACTGGATAGTACTAGGATAATAGTAGGATTCAAGGATTGATCTGGCGTCAATACGGCGAGAGGTCCTAAGTACCTGGCACAGCAGAAAAGTGAGTTGTCTTTGGGTCTATGATTGTTCCATAAGGGACGCTGGACCCGGTTTCAAGCAGGTGCAGCTCCCCAGGAATAGACCGGGGCCATCCATCATCGTCCAGGTGGCAGGGGATGAGGTTGGCCTGATGTCAGAGAAAAAGCCAAACAAAAAGGCCGAGAAAGGTATTAACTGACCGCAATTATAAACGTTGGAAATCCAGCGAGCCATAAGGCCGCACGTTGTATCGGGGGAAGAACATAGTCGGTCGGATCCCCAGGGCTTGCCAAAATAAAAACGGTCTTGGGGGCATCTGCTACAGAGAAGAGTAGCATGGCCCATTGATCCCTATGAATGGATGGCACACGTAAAGGCTACCAGCCGGGCCGCCCGGGCGACCCTGAAACTGTGTTATGCAGGAAAATAAACTGAACAACTTTTGCCTCAGGGTGACATTGAAATTCTCTATTAAATTTAAAATAAAAAATCAAACTTATATATATATATANTTTTTTTTTTTGAAATCATTGAAAAGCAGGCCTGGGGCCAAGTCCCACTTACCCGAAATCTCAACTTCTGACCGTAGATTCGCAAGATCAACGGTCCGAAATGAAGAATCAGCGTAAGTGGGACTTGGCCCCAGGAATCCCTCCACATTGCAACCCGGAGATTGAGAGCAGGGGCCATTTCCAAACGGCCTGAGCTGGAAACCGGGTCCAGCGTCCCACATCTGCAGACTGAATAAGCAGCAAAAAGGAACAGCTGGACAGTTAAATAGCAAATAGTAACAAAAGTGAGAAAATGACTAGCAACTGCCTAACTTCTATTTTCAAGCTAGCTGGAAACCGGGTCCAGCGTCCCAAGTTGGCTTAAACACAGTGCCATTGTAGTGCTATAAGCTGAAAACCGGGTTCAGCATCCCATTCAGATATGAATCTCCACTATTCCTACCAGGTTCAAGAAGTAAGCCAGTTGTTGAATTGCAGTTCCCCTTTGGAGCCGAGTGAGACTAGTTGTGATCTGTTCCCCCAGGTACTCCAGAACCATTTCACTTTCTGTATGTTGCAGCCCCTTCCTGTTTTCCTTCTCCAGTCGGCGATGACAGTGTATCTGATCTGGGTCTTTATGTGTGAGACTATGTCCGGTAGTGACTTGTGGTGATTCTGGAAAAGCTTGTCGTTGCGATCTTGCCACAGGGCACCCATAATGATGGCCCTAATGGCCTGTGCCACATAGACCCAACCTGCGTGAGGGGAGAAGCCTGTTGGAAGGATGCCATTCAGTATCCATCCTTCGTCCCACGGCATAATGTCCTTTGTGATGTTTTTCCAATGTGCTTCCCACCAGGCCCAGACCCTCGGCGATAGGGGACATGAGTACCAGATATGATTCGAGGTTTCCCAGGCCCATTGACACCTAGAGCATGAGGTGTCGATGTCCATTCCTTTGGAATGAAGCCAGGTGGCTGAGGCAGTGACCAACAGTGACTGAAGGTGAAGGATGCTTGCAAGTTTTTGTGATGGTAAGGCAGTGAGTGGGTCCCATAGAGCAGATAATTGCTTCGCATTGATCTCTGGTAGGGTCTGTTCTATTCTTCTCTTAGTCACCACGCTCACCGGAATTTTTCCGGATTTGGCTCGTTGAAGTGCTACTCCTTCTTGGATGAGTAGAGGTGTAGGCCAAGAAATTTACCGTTACTTGGGTCCTTCCATCCAATCTTGAGGGGGTTAGCTGGGAGATCCATCAGGCTTTCGTGGCCTGCTAGCCGTTGAACCTCCCGCTCTGAGGGGGGAGTCGGGGACTGGACTTGTGGTTGGGCTTTGGTCTGTGCTCGCTGATCCCGTTCCACAACCACGACTTCGTTGAGGTCGTGTACTGCAGTGACTTCCTTGATTCCTTGGAAGGATAGCAGGTGGGTGAAAACAGTGGTAGGGGACTCCTTCCACTCCTCCACCTCGTGTGGCCCGCCTGGGGTGGGGCCTAAATATTTCCAGATTGTTGGGTCTGCTGAACTGTTTGGTGCAAGCAGCAATGTATTTGGAGTCAGTTCCTGTGGGTTACTCAGTATGTGTAGCCAGTAAGGAGGGATCGCCTGTTGTAACTCCATTAGGTGGTCTGAAACTCTCCAGAGTTTCCTTAGTGGTAGCTCAGATTCTGTTTTCCATCCTATCCTGTGGCTGTCCCATAGGTCTCCAACTTTTGATACCCCTCTCTCTATCCAAGCTTTACCGTAGTTCCCTGTCGAGTCGTGGGCAGAAAAATGGGATCCGTCTTTCGAAGAAGGGGATTTTCAAATAGAGGCTGGTTACATATTTGGTGCACTGTGCACGGTGGTTCAGTGATCTGTGGAATCAGTTTGGACCACGCTGTCAGAATGTCGCGCCAAAATTTGGATTTGGGTCTTTTGTTACTGTAGGATTCAGTGAAAAGACAGATCCAGACGTCTGAGGGGCGGCTTAGTTTCCATTCTTGGCTAAGTATGTATTCTGCTAATTGTACCCAGTATGTTTCTTCTCCTGCCAAAAGGGCTTTGATTGGCCATTTTGCAAGGATGGAAGAAGCGGCCACTGGAAAAAGAAAGGAGAAGACGGTGCAAGGAAAGGACGATGAGGGCCGTGCTGCGTTCATCAAAGATGCCAGAAAAGATCTGCGTGGTTTGACCAAGGATGCTTTGACTGCTATCTGTGAGAAAGAGGGAGTGAAGTATGCCGGAGTTAAGCAAACTGTGGAAGACATCATTTCTCATCGTGTCAGTAAGGCCTTCCCATCGACCGGTAAAGCAGTTGAGATCTCTGAAGGCCGGGTCGAGGCGGTCAACGATGAGGAGTCCGGGGGAGACTCTGCCCTCTCTTAGTGTCTCTCCCGGACGTGACGACGTTGTGGAATCTTTATCGGAATTGTTGTAAGTTACGGAGTGCCTCCTCTTCTTTTCTACGGCGTCAGGCTCTAAATTCTTTCCTTCAGATTGTTATTATTGGTTTAATTCTTGGTGATTGTGTTCCTTGGGCCAGTAAATTTGTGGGGCATATTTCGCGTTGCTGGCAGAAATCGGAAGGGAGTATTGATGATGGTCCGTTAGTGTATTTGCTTGTCTTTCCCCTGTATCGGCATGTTTATATTGGGAGTACGAGACAGGATCTACCATCGAGATGGAGTGAGCATGTTTACCGAGCAAAGAGTGTCAATCTCGTCAACTTAGGTAGTCGCAATGAAAGGCTTTACAGTTGGCTACGTCAAAGTGGGATTGAGAACTATGTGGCGATTCCGATTTGTCACTGTTCTAAGGAGGATCTACTTTCTGTGGAGAAATTCTTTATTAGGAAGTTTTTTCCAACTCTTAATTCGAAGGATTGCCCTCGGAGATATCGGAGGAATAGACCCGGAAAGAAGGAAAAGCGTAAGAGGTATGGAAGGCCCACTGTTTTCTCGTTACCTAAAGTGCTGTCCACGTCTTCCTCTGGTATATTAACCTTTTCTTCGAGTGTGGGGATTGTGTCGCATAGCCTGATTCGAATTCTTGACTATTGTTGTACTGTTGGGATCGGGAGTGTGACTGTTACATGTAGAGGTGGCTCTTCCCGGGTTGACTTGTGGAAAATCCTGAAGCGCTGCTATGGATCCTCTGTTATAAATTGTGTATTTGGAAGTGATCAGTTGCGATCATCCAAGGGCTGGCTTGTTGATGGATCGGTGATTTCCTTCCTCTCTATTGTACCTTTCTGTGGAAAATTTCTTGCCCTCAAAGCTCCGTTATCCTCTCTCCTCAACAATCCATCTAGTCGAAGATCGTTGGTTACTTGGGATCTCCCTTCTCTTATTTCAGCTTTCTCTGCTATCTGGTGTTTTTCTGAGAAGCGCTCTCGTTCACGATTGCGACTCATTCTTTCCAAATGTATCTCCTCTCGCTTTGGGCTGCCTGTTCGGAAGAGGTTGGTTGTTCGAATCACATATGATGCTGTTTTCTGTAAAGCGGAGATTCGGAAGCTGTGTGCTAGCATCATTCGCAATCTCGACATCGATGAGTCTTGGAAGTCTCTTCTGATTCGGCGGCTGCGAGTAGTCTGGCGTAGGAATCAAACTATTGGGGATCTTATTCATAATTTCCGAAAATTTTCAAAGCTCTCCTCCTACCAGTGCGTCTGTTCATCTCTTGATGCTTCCTTAGATCGGGTTGATGGACATGTGAGTTTTCGAATCAGCACTGATGATTCTTTCCCCAATTGGATGAATAATTCCAAAAATATTATGAGACCTTCTGCGGATTATCCTATCGCTGATCTGAGGAGACAAATCCGATCTTCTTTTCTTTCCTTTACGGAGCTGCACTCTGAGTCTGCACTGTCTTGTCTGTCTTCTTCCTCTCTGGAACGCTGTCTCACGATTGAATCTCCTGAAAGTGGTGTATTATGTTCTGTGGGGTCTTTGAATGAGCAGAAGAGTAGGATTGAAGGTTTGGTGTGCTGTCCCATAGATCACAACCCGGGTGATACTTTTGTTTGCTGTCCGGTGGTCTATGGTCACGGTATGGGGAAGTTATTTACTGATAATCCGAGTTTTGGGCATGAGCTGCGTGAAGAAAAAGTGGTTATTTTGAATTGTAAAAAGCAGTTTATTGATGAAGGGTTTGATAAGATAGGGAAGTGGAACATCAAGGGTTCGTTCGGGAATGCTTATTGCTTGCCCATGCAGTTAGTGAGCTTCTTTGGAATCTTCCTAAATCTTTCCACTTTAATCTTCGTCGTACCTCGGACTTTATTTCTGGCATCAATTCTATCAATGAAGGAGTCAAAGGCAAAGATCAGTTGCTGGGGGCTTCGTTCGACGTCAAAGAAATGTTTTCTAATCTACCTCACGATTCTATTCTGCAAGCACTTCGGTGGGCGGCTGATTACTGGATTGCTGAGGGACACAAAGGTGTCATGGTGAAGAAGTACGGGAAAGCGGCCTGACTCACACGAGGGCGTTCTGAGGATGGATGGATTCTTTTAAAATTCTCTGTCATTTTTCGCTATGTTGTCTTTGATTTGAAGAACACGTTTATTCGTGCCTCTGGGGTTCTGCTGAAGCAATCGTTGGGTATCCCTATGGGGAAGTCGACCAGTCCGGCTCTCGCCTGTCTGTTATGTGCATATAATGAGTATTGCTTTCTCTCCTCCCTTGGTTCGGATCGCAAGCTAGTAGCCGGTTTTCGGGTCGTTGACGATGTATCTATTTTTGTTCGTTTTTCCTCCTCTTCTGATTCTTCCTTTTCTCGGGCGCAGTTGTTGATTGAACGCTTTCGTGGCTGTTATGATGCACACTTGACTTTGGAACAGACCAATGAGGGCAGCGGGTGGGATTTTATTGGCTGTATCATCAGAATTTTTAATAGTCCATATAGAATTGGCTGCGTGGCGCTGCATAAAAACCAACGGGTTATCTCAGAGCAAGGGTTGGTGTTCACAACTTGCAGGACTACGCCTCCTTCTCCAGTCGCCAACAAAAGATGGTCGTGGTTATCTCGTTTCTGCATCGGGCACGTATTTTTACCAACATTCCTGACTTGGAAGTAGCCTTCTTGCTTACCTTGAAGCATGAGATGTGGTTACGAGGGTATCCGGATCACTACTTTGACTTTGCCCTTTCCAACTTTTCGCGCAAATTCTTTGGGTGCTGGGATCATTGGTTGGGAATTTTGACGAGATGGGATCGCATGTTTCCTGCAGCAAGTGCATGATTGTTCTAGGCTCGAATTAGGGTCCTAAGTGGTTTTTGTGGTTGATGGTTGATGAGTTCGAGTTTGGTTTTGCGGTTACTGGATTTTGTGTTTTGGCTCGAAATAGGGTCTGATGAGTTTGGGATTCTCTTCCCTCGGTAGTTCGTGTTGAAGTAGTCCATGGGCCTTGGCCTATATGTAGGGGGACCATTAGTGGGGCTCTGGTTGATGTCCGGTACTGGTACTTCTTCCTGGTCCCGACCCTTTTTGTTGGCTAGTAGAATTTGCCCTGAGCGCATCAGGTTTCGAACCAACGGCGGTACTGTTTCTTGAATTTGACGAGTTCTTGGTACTTCGGTGAGATTTGTTTTGTTCCTATCGGGTCTCGAACTGATGACGGCTCAGTTATTTCTTGATTTTGACGAGCTCTTGAGACTTTTCTGGTGGATGACTAGCTTTGGAATAGGACTGGCTTTGGTGGTTTGGTTCATCTGTAGTTGTTGTGGTAATTTTCTTTGGGTTTCGATGGACGTGATGGATGATTCGCGGTCTTTTGTCGGCCGCCGTGGGTTTTCACTAGACTCTCCCGACTATTAATACGCAAGTTACTAAGACCTCGTTGCACTTGCGACGCGACTCAAGACCCCTGAGGAAGGCTGGTTGGCGGGCCAGCCGAAACTAGTCGGGTCCACGCCGCTGCTCTTGTTGTTATATTTTTCGAATAATGTCGCGTCCAGGTTTTTTGTAATTGCGTATGTCTCTCTCACCATTATCTTCTTCTGCTTTCTATTCTTTGCATGTCTCTCTACGTTCCTTCTCCTTGTTTTTTCTCTCTTGTCAGTCTGCCGGCCTTCGGCTGTGTTTGATGATTGGTTTATCGTTTTGAAGTCAGTTCGTCGTTTGACGTCAACTACATTTTGCAAGGAGAGCGATGTTCTGCTGCTTGGGGTCCAGGACCCCTAAGCCGCCTTTTTTTTTTTTTTTTTTTTTTAAGGGGGCCCAGTGCCCAAGGCTGATATTATCAATGAAAAAGCTGAGGCCGGGGTCCTCACAGTCTACCCGGAGTGGTCGCACGACTCTGGCTGAGAACCGGGGGAAAAGGCAATAGTTTCCCATGCAATCTTGGACAGGAAGCCTTCCTGTTCTTTCGCCTCAGGTTTCCAGATGAATCTAGCGCCTACCTTTCTGATGGACTTGTAGGCATTGTCCCCTAGTCGGTGGACTGCTAGGGGATACCATGAGGAACGTTTCTTTCTTTCGGAGCTGGGGTCAGAAAGTTTGATGGGGCCCAGACCTCTGTGCTTCACTCATATCTTATGCTCTTCAATTGCGCTCGGGAGACTTCCTATCTCGTCTGTCTCTATCTCAATTCGTCTTCAAGTTGTCTCTTTGTGCATGTAACAGACCTTGGTCTGTCTGCTTGGGTTGTCAATCTATCACTGGGGTCAGAAAGTTAGACGGGGCCCAGACCTCCGTGCATTGTGTTGGAACCTTGGTTGATGGGGCCCAGACCTCCGTGAGTTGTCATTAGTGTTCTGGGTACCTATACTGAGAGAGTGGTGGAGGTCCAATCAAGCCCGGTGTGGGATTACTCTGGTTTTGTAGGGAGATCGTAATTACCTGGATGACATAGGCTGTTGATGTAACCTCCAGTGGTTGTATCATCTCGAATTCTGAAGACCAGGCCTATGTTACAGTACTGGATAGGACTAGGATTCGAGGATTGATCTGGCGCCAATACGGCAAGTACCTGGGACAGCAGAAGAGTAAGTTGGATGAATATGTTGTCTTTTTTTTTTTTT